TCTGTAATTTCTCAATTAATCAATAACTTGTTTAGTCTATGAAATTCGCTGGTGAATATTTTGTCGGTCGACTAATCGATCAAAACACAATCGTTGTGGGAAATCAACACCAGCTACATGCAGGTGACACATTTTGGTTGTAACTACCAGGTTTGTTTTCTCTCCCGGCCTCTTTAGTGGGAAACAGTCTAATATTTCATTGTTTTTAGAACGTGCCTATTAAATAAAGAGAGCTGGTGAAGTCTGCGCAGTGGCTGGTACACACAAAAATGGTCGGCTTTTTCCCAGAGCTTCTTCACATCTGTGCATGTTTTCATGGTTAACTGACTCTGTACGTCACTGGGTAGGACCCGCTTTTTAACATTCCAGAAATATTTGAGTTCAAGCGAAATATAAGCTATGATCTTCTAGTACAATTTTAATTTTTAGCTGACACTGCTTCTCCTTTATAAGGAATGCTGCAGCTCACCACACCCACTAACAGACATTGTTTAAATTGTTATAAGGATTAAAAACAAAGCATACACAGTAAACATTAATGTTAAGCACATTTCCTGGCTGCAGTTTAAGCCCAGCATGCCCTGTGTTCACACCACAACATGAATTAACTTGTGCTGACAGGCCCAAATACGCTGGACTACTACAGGGAATCAAAAATAGCTTCTTCCTGCTTAGCTCAAACACACACCCTTGCCTGTGGATATCCTATGAGGATGTTGAGCATATTTTTTTTTTCTGTGCGTGTGGCTGTGCATCGTGTGTGACAAGCGATTTTAGCGAGAAAACAAGGCAGAAGTCACCCTACAATGGTAAATGCGATGTGAAAGCTCAATCAGGCATGCATCCACTGATAAACACAGAGACACAGAAATGGGTGGTGGAGATAACCACACAAAGACCTAAAACAGGAAGAAACCCTTATTTAGAAGAACTGTGAAGTATAATTATCATTATTATGTTGACCAGGTACTTTGAACTACATAAATACAAATAAATGTATTATAATATAAATATTTAGATTCACTTAAAATGTTTAAAATGTGAAACTGTCACAACTCACTTGACATGTACATTACATGTGTTTCATGTGGGATGACAATGATAACATAAACATTGTTCTGGTTTAGAGGCGTCTCATTATAATGCAACAGAAACAGATCTCTGATTGAGGAAGTGCAGCTGGAGAAGCGTGAGTGGCATGAACTCAGTCAACCCCAGTACGTGCAACCGTCTTTAGCATCTGGACAAATTCCTAACCTAACCTGACCGTCCAGACAGCTCACAGACCTTCACTGTCTGCAAACTGTGGCACGGACTTCCTTTTAGAAACAGGTCTGAATCAGCTTGTGCAATGACAAAATGCAGACTGAGACCATAGGGTGTTAGATGATCGAGCTGGACAAGCCTAAGCAACTTGCACATGAGGACTACGTGCAGGATTTGAACTAATGTTGGTGGGTTCTCCCGCACCATAGTTCTCACAGATGTAGAGCTCTCAAATAGTGTGGCATGTACACCTATGACATGCATCTTGCTGTCTCACATGGCTTGAACCGCTTGTTATACAAAACATGCTCATAATAACCACCTGTTGGATCAAAGAACCAGCTGTGGACGTCCTCAGCTCATGACAAATGGAAAGTAAGCAGATTTCCACAAAGAGAAAGGATTATCAAGAAGAGCAACTTTCTTGCCACCACAAATGTGTTGATAACTTCGTTTTAGCATCACAGGAGGACAAATATACATAAAAACTATTGTCCATACCACTGCCCATACCACACAGCTGAAACGACATCCAATGTGGATTCGTTTCGACAACCTATGAGGCCTGACACATTATTTCTACATTCAGAGAACAATTACATGGGGGTTGGACAACATGTCCCAGGAACACAGCAATGAAAAAGGCCTCACCTACTTCTGTTTACTTTTGGCTGAGCCGTTTGGAAATTAACACAGTGGTTTCCACCTGAGGCTCTGTGTGTACTTACACCGGTACAACTTTTAAATCTCAGTACATATCAAGTGTATTACAGGAAAAAAGTATATCTTCTCCAGGCGAGAGGAGGAGAAAAAAAATGAGCCAGAGGGAGGGAGGAGTTGAACACACACAATAAAATACCGACACGCACATACACACACGAAATAAAAAGGTTTGACAAGATAAATACGAAACTGTAAACAATACAGCAAACGAAGATTATCATGTGTTGCTATCAGCAAAGTAGCTAACTTAACTTTGTTTATATTATTTTCCTTTGGTTGAACTTCTAGCTGGTGTTCCCTACGAACAGAAAACATAAATGGTATTTAATAGCCCCTCTACTATTGACCACAAACAACGTTTTGTGACTGTCAGATAATGTCAGATATTACCCTACAGCTAACAGCTCCTCAGCAAAACGAGAACAAGGTTACGTTCACATGAACATCACGTACCTTCCAGTATTTTAACGCGGTGTTCATCTATTTCCGTACGTCCAGCGGGGATATTTCGCTCGCCAGCATTCAAACTGTCAGTACATTTAACGTTTTTTTTTCCAGTTTTTTGTTTTTTTTTTAAGTCAAAAGTCTCCAAATCCCCCCCAGAAGTCAAAGTGTACTCCCTCACTGCCCATCCGCGGTGAGAGAAACAGGAAACATCAGTCTTTCCTGGCCGTAGAAAGTTCCAATGAAATTTGTCACGGGACCCGACAACTGCAACCACTTAACGGCTGCACAGGACGCACCAGGGCACTTCCGGTGGGGCGTTTCAAAATAAAAGCAGAGCAGGCGGTGGGATGTTGCTCGTCATCAAGTACTGCAGTTCAGTTTTAAAGGTGCTTGTACTTGAGTATTTCTATTTCATGCTACTTTGTATCTCTACTGCACTACATTTTTTAGAGAGAAACAAAACTCCTCTACAATTAAACAATAATTGAATACAGCTGTAGTTACTTATTTTATACAGAGTACAAAACATATGTACATATATCACCTTGATGCAACACTGCTACTTACACATTAATATTAATGCATCAATGTTATTAATCCAATAATTCGAAATATAATAATATAACTGTGTTCTTTTACTTTTGATTCTGTAAGTACATTTTGCTGTTCATACATGCACACCTTTAAGTATTTTAATATATTGTGGTAATACTGCTTTTGCGTAAGTTTAAAAAAATCTGAGTACATATTCCACTAAGGGTGGCTGTATCATCCCACTTTGGGTCCCTGGTTTAATGTCTCTGTGCACAGGATATGTATTTTGTCATTTCAAAGTACACCCATTGAACAGACTTATACAGGAATATGCACCATGTGGGCTTCAATAGATAAATAAATAAATAAAAGACACAGAGCTCATCCACAAGACAGGACATTAAGAGTGAAGGAATTATGTAGAACCTGTTTAAAAGCCACTGAATATATTAACTTGAGGGGATATTGTTGTGCATAGAAAAAAATAGACATTTATATTACATATTTAAATGTCTATTTTATATTTATGCTGCATGAATTTTACAATACATGATTTATTTTCTCTTACTTTGTTTATTTTGACCATTATGCAAAGGCAAATTCCTTGTGTGTTAAAATCTACTTTTCTTTCTACTTGTGCTTTTAGCTTGAGAAACGTAATATTTAATTTCCGGCGTTGTTGTGGTTTGCTTAACACAACTACTTTACACTCAGGAATGACAACATTGAGAAAACAAACAGTTAAACAGTGTCACCTACAGGCAGAAAGGCAGGACATGCCTATTATCTAAACATGCAAATTTTACCGCCAGAATAAATAAATGAATAGATTAAGAACTAGCAATGCTAAATATAATATTATAATTATTACAACTATGATACAGTAATTATACAATATAAATTAATAATGAATGAATTACAAGTGACACGTATGAGATAAGAATTATGAGATACTTATTTTCATTAACAAATGGTTTGAAGTTCATGTAGTCTATGGTCTAGTTTTATCCCTTGTTAAAATCCATACAGACGCATTGCACCACTTGTCCCATAAAAAACGTTATGTCCCGAGTCGACCTACCTGCTTGGAGCTGATAGTGCGCAGACGAACAACAGCCAGAGATGTTGTGATAAATTAGAAGGAATTAGTGCAATCTATAAATAAAGTTAGGATCAGATGCAACAACAAAACACATATTCAGTGGCCAATGTTGTCTTTTTGGCTTTATATGAATGAAACCGATAAACACATGCAAAAGTTTTGTCCACAAGGTGTCAGCAAAACACAATTTAAAAGCAGCTGCAGAATGCACTGTGGATATGTCAAAGCGGAAGGAAATATTGTGTTATCTATGCGAGTTTGAATGCTGTAAATATTCTGTATGAATGTCAAGCTTTAAGCCCCCGATCCGCTCAAATATGATGCGATTATTATGTGAATCATCATAATAATTTATTTCCGTTGAGGCCCCACACTGAGGTAATGCCAATTCAAAGGCATTGGCGTTTTTAAGCAACTACATAACAATGCACTCTAATATAGATGCGCACCATCTGGTAAAAATAAGCGATAGTCCATGTGTTTCTATAAATAAGTGTTATATATTAACACAAAATAATTTAGATTAGGGGACAACGTTAGAGGTTGGATTCATTTCGCTTGTCTCCAGTCAAACTGAGGGGCTTGGGAACCCCCTGAAACCCTCTCAAGGGCCTCCAAAAGTCCCCGCTGCCCACTTTGAGCCACCACCGCCTTGATGAAAAGATCCTTTCTGCTGTAAAAGCTGACAGTACAGTCATCTAACTTAACGCCCGCCTCCTCAAAAATATCAACCAATCAAACTAAACCCCCTCAGACTTCTAACCAATCACAGACGAGCCTCTCCTCATCTCTCGTCCAATCAGTTTCGAGTATCGGCTCCTCTTTTCACAGCCCCCATTTCTGACCAATCAGGGACGAGGCCGCCTGCGCAGAGGGCTGGGCGCGAGAATCGGCGGGATGGACAAAAATCACAACGCCAAGTAGAAGTACAGAGACATGAGATAGAAACAGCCGGGACAGAGAGGAGCAAAAGTAACGTGTTAGCCTCTCCCACCTACTATCTGGGGTTTCTACTACCATATTACCTTTTTAGGGAACGAGCAACAGAAGACGACACAGTGACGGGTTTTCTTTTAAAGATGTTATCGACGGTGAACGAGGTGTTTACACAGAGAGCGTAATGTTATGGACTGTACATTAAGTTAGCTCACTGGCTAGCCGGATAGTGCTGGCTAGATGCTGCCCCGCGTCTCAAAAGGGGGGGAAACCAGCGATGACTGACAGCGATTTCTATGGATAAACTTCAATTAATGTGGGATTTTTATAAAGCTGCCAAACACAGGTTCGTCTTTGAAAAGGTTCAATCATCCTACCGACTGTCATGGACAACGTGAAACCACGCAGGTGAGTGCCAGCAATAATAATACGGTGCTGTTAATTATCCATAGACTGCCACAATCACCAGTGCTTCTATGCATCTCTGGTAAAAAAAACTAAATACATAAATAAAGATAGTTTTGGTTTCAGTGTCCCGATAATACAGTGTGGGTTTCATCTTTGATAACGTACACTGCTTGTGCACCTGCCACAGTCATACTGTAACAAGGGCCACCTACGAGACAAATAGATGCGTTTTATTTGAATGGTTAATAACATATGGAGCCTTAAAAACATGTATATCATTGTGCAAAACGTGCATGACACTTTAAATTAAGATTATTGCTTGTTAATCCCGAAACATGTATATTAAACATGGGTTGCACTGTTGTTTTCTAAATATTTGTTGGAACAATGCATAATATTTTTGCCATGCACATTGTCAAACAGCGGTTATGCAACAGGAGCATCCCTGGAAACATTTTATTTAAACACAACAAGTCAGTCAAATTAATTACGATAAATAAAACCCTTCAGATTGTGTTAAATAATAATAATAAAAACAACACAAAAGGTCAAAGAACTACATCAGATCAAATGTTTTCTATGTTTTTACATTCAAATCTTTATCACCTGGTCTACACTGTGTTATTGCCAAGAGGGGGGGAAAGTGCCTAAGAGTTCCTAAAGCCTTTCTTTGTTTTTCAAAAAATCTAGTGTAAGTAAAAGTACATAGAAAACAAACAAATGTGTAGATTTATGATTAGGTTTAATAAGTTATATTAACCTGTTAAATCATAGTAACCAAGGTAGCATCATTAATTATTAATATTATGCAACTGCCAGGTGCACAACAACAAGGACACCTGCAGTCAAGTGTCATGATTATTCATATTAAAAACACACAATGGCATCTGAAATTAAAAGTGAATTAATTGATTAGTTGATCAAAATAATAGTAACTGCCAACGATTTAAATAACCAATGAAGTAATACAGTTATTAATCAAGAAAACTTGCCAAACATTTTCCGGTTCCATCTTCTCAGATATGGGGATTTTCAGCTATTCCCAGTTCTATCTCAATGTAAAAGGAATATTTGGGTTTTGGGTGGACAAAACAAGCTATTTGATGTAAATTTGATGTAAGGTTTAACATTGGTCAGTGGAAAATTGTGCATTTTCACTATTTTATGGCATTTTATAGACTACAGTAAGCATTTTATTGGCAAAAACAGATACATCAACAATGAAAATATGTGTTAGTTGCAGTTTTAATGATGCCTGCATTAAGCTTCAATTGTCTATTGAAATAGCTGTGTCTCATTCCCACCACATGTCCCTCCTTATGTTTGCATCTGGAGAGAGATCAGGTCTTGACCCTGAGGAAGGCAAATCCTGCATTTTACAATGTCCTATTAACTGTTTATGACTCATGAATTATTATTAATGCTGCAAAATATGACAATAAATGTCTAAAGTTATTAAGTGAGTAAATAATGTGCTAAACAAAATGCCAAGAGGTTATATAAGTCTGCCTGTTTTTTGAAACTTTTTGAAAAACTGGACCGTTAGAGCTTTGCCATTCCCCTGACCACACCCCAGCGCACCACCTCCTCCATCTCAATCACACACACACACACACACACACACACACTCACACACCTCTGGAGGTGAAAGAGCCTGTTGATGTGGGATCACCTCTTTCCTCCAGCCCCCTCACTCCCCTCCTTCCTGTTCAGCAATAGGTCCAGACTCACTCACTTCCCCACTTCTCTTTGCTCTGGTGAGGGAATCAGGCCCCACCAAAATTCAATTGCCATGTTCAAGTTTCCACACTGAAGAAGACCTTTCATGCACAGTCCAATACAAGCCCGAGAGAAAGCACTGCTTTCCCCTTGTGTGTAAGGTTAAGTGTGTGCACGAGAAAGGTCTGTTGTGTAGGAACGGCTCTTAGGAGTGGATAACTTAATTTCTCCTCCATTTATTAAACTCTTCTCCACTACCACAAAGAAAGCGTTGCCCAGCAGCATGTTTTATGGGAACACAGAAGTGCAGTGCTACCTGCCAACTTCCTGTGTCAGTAGAGAGGAATTTTGTTCTTGTATGCAGTCATGTATAATTACAAGTTGTTTAATTTTTATTCTGACAAAGTTTGTCTATAACTGGTGGTCCTCTAAATATCTGAAGTTAATGTTCTGATACCCACCAGTCTGAGAGAACCCGTTTCTATACAATCCATTATTATATATTATGTAATTATCTGATTGTTTGATTGCATATTCCCTTATTGTTCACCATAGCTGCATTTATATTTTAGTTTTTGAATCACTTTTATACTTGAGACAATAACTGAAAGCCTCTTGTAAGTGCCATCCATGTTTTTGTATTTATTTTTATTTACTTGTCTTGTTTGTTAACTTGACACATCAATTTGAAAAATATACTTAAAGCTGAGTGTGTGTAATAGTTAAGCTTCTTGCGCCTTTACCACAAGAGCTTGAGCAATGGCAGTAAAGTACATATAGTAGCAGTAGATCAAGTAGAGAACTTTGCATGTTCGCATTTGCAAATATATTTATGTCTAATAGTGATACAGTATCAGTACCTAAGGTACTGAGGTATTATTCCAGTTTACAATCAATAACTTTATAAAGAACATTTTTGGTACTATTAACAAAAAATCTACTTTTCTTTTCCTCCCTTTCCATATTTGCCCTGTGCTTTTTAGCAATGATGAGGATGAAGAGCTACACTCCACAGACCCAGAGAGTAAAGAGAAGAGCAAAGACAAAAAGACCCTGTGCAAAGTAAAGTGGTCCCGAGATGAGGTACGTTTATCAGAGGCACAAGTGAGGTCTAGTCTGGTTTTGTGGGTTGTGTGAGTGAAATGAAGACTTTGTACTGCATGAGATTTGTATTTTATCTTCTTGCAAATAAGAACGAGTTTAAGTGTGTGCTCCACACATCTTATGGTAACCTTATTAATAATCACTGCTATTTTTTCATTCAGTAATGCAGTTAAAGTGGAAAGTGTGTCAATGTAAATGATGGAAGTTCCTCAGGATGTAAGGTGTTCTTACTCTGTGTCTTTTTCTCCTCCCTTCTTAGGATGAAAAACTGAAAAAACTTGTAGAGCAACATGGAACTGACTCCTGGAAACTAATAGCTAACTTTTTCCCAGTAAGTATGTCATGTAATGTGTCTGCATTGTGTAATAAGAGTATTAAGAGTAGTATCTTAATACAGTCATCTGGTCCATGTCTTTCCATTTTAACATTTAATAGCGATCCAAACCATTTAGTAATCTTGTAATTAACATAGTTCCTCAATAGGATGTAGGAACAGTGGTGGTAAAGTAATGCGTGTAGTGACTGGAGAGAAAGATGTATTTACAGCTGTCAGGAGTAGGTGTAACTCAGTTAGTAGTGTGGTGTAATGAGCTGTCGTGTCTTGTGTGGCTCTGTCACAGGGGAGGACAGATGGCCAGTGTCAGCACCGCTGGCAGAAGGTGCTCAACCCAGAGCTGGTGAAAGGACCCTGGACAAAAGAGGAGGATCAAAAGGTAATAGGAGCTGGGAGATTCCTGTTCTTGGTAGAAAGAGGAATAATAAAATAGGTATATGATAGGGGAGACAGAAGGAAGCTGTGTGGAGAGGAACACAATACAAACACAAATGCCACAATATGTAATGTATCTTACCATCAGAATAACGAGGCTGTGCACATGCGCATGCTTACTTCCCGCTAAAACTTTCTTTTCCTTGGCTGCTTTTTTCTTTTCTTTTCTTTTTTCCTTTTTAGCAAAGTAAATGCTCCACTACGTCATCCCTAATAAAACACAGACTTTCCAAGTCACAAGTTTAGAGCCAGGCCCTTCTTTGTACAGACTGAAGCTCTTAATATCTTCCCCAGCTCTAAGTTGTACAATGTAATCCTTAAATGGATCACGATTCTTCAAGAATGTCAAGAATGGTGCCTCATTCCTCCAACATCTTGGCATCATAACAGAAACACCGGCCTATCAATAATAGCCTGGGCTGCCAATAATGACATCACAACATTTTTCAGCCTTGACAGAAACAGCCAAACAAGCTGTGCTGCTGCTGCTGCTGCTGCTCCAGTCAAAGCTTTCTAAACACTGGCCCTTCTGTTGACTATACATGAGAAAAGAAAGATGTGATTTATCTCTTCATACAAGCTTGTAGTTTGAATGAATCCAATTTGTGCCCTACTTCATACACAACACTACCAGAATATGCAGCAGTGTATAGATTTATGATCTAAATATCTTTGTTGATGTCTGTGCAGGTTATTGACCTGGTACACAAGTATGGCCCCAAGCGTTGGTCGGTGATCGCTAAGCACCTCCAGGGCAGAATTGGAAAGCAGTGCCGTGAACGGTGGCACAACCACCTTAATCCAGAGGTGAAGAAGTCTTCATGGACTCAGGAAGAGGACCGAATCATCTATGATGCCCACAAACGTCTTGGCAACCGCTGGGCAGAGATCTCTAAGCTTCTTCCTGGACGGTAAAAAATCTTGTGCGCACATTGTATATTTCTGCTTACAGTTTGGGTCACGAAACTGGTAATTATCTGAAATGTTATTTATCTTCTCCCCAACAGGACGGACAACTCCATCAAGAACCACTGGAACTCCACCATGAGGAGGAAGGTGGAGCATGAGGGGTACCTGCAAGATGGGTCCAAGAGTTTCAATTCTTCTCACTCTGGAGTGAAGAGACGCCACCACAGGCCTTGTCCTCCAACTCCAACAGAGCTGCAGCACTGTGACCGCAGTCCTCTACCTATACCGGGACCCAACCAGGTTCACTTCCCTTCTAGACTTGACACAGTATGGTGTTTTGATTCATTTTCTGATTTGTTGTGCTTATTGATTTAAAAAAAAAATGATTCTCTGTATTTTAGATAGGGGGATATTCTTATGATCCTCACAGTGGACACTTGATGGATAGTCTTCCTGATAATTCAGGCTTCATGTCGGTGAGTCTTTGTGTATTTCTTTGCATGCTAATGGGAAAGACTTGTCACATTCTTTATTTTCTGGGCTTTCTGTAGTTATCTTTGTGATTGCTAACTCTGGACTTCAAATCAAACACTTGAATGTCCTGTTATTTTCAACTAACATTAAATAATAGCTAAAAGGGGGTAAATCTCAAATGCTCCCATAAATATTTTATGTGTGAATCTGTTTTATTTTTTTGTCTGGTTTTTCTTAACTTCTTCCTTTCCTCCTGTCCTCTCGACCTCTCCTCCCTGACGTTTGTTTATTTCAGCCATCCTGCCTGGATGATCCTGACAGAGAGCAAAGAATTAAGGAGCTTGAGCTGCTGCTTATGTCAGCAGAGAATGAAGTCCAACGACAAGCGCAGTGCAGAGGTCCATGTGTAAGAACACACTCCGAATGTGTGTTTGCATACTTAGTCAGCATAGCCTGCGTGTGTTTGTAGCTTACATACACTGTAAAAAGTTTAACAATGGTCAGTTTCAATATGAAATGTATTATTTAACTCAACATTGAGTCTTACAATCAAATCAAAGTGAGATAAAGAGAATATTATGAATTTTCTTGAACCTATTTCCTATTTAAATTTTTCTATACCTCATACTTGAAAATTCCTAAATTCCATCTCCTCAGTGGGCTTTTCCTTGCTTTAAGGAAAAGAAGATTTTAAGACTTGAGACTCAATGACTTTTTGCAGTGTATACATGTGAAAACGAGAATGGCGCACATGTATGTGTGTCTGTAGCCTGATTTGCTGTAGTATTGCTATAGTAACTATCTTCCCCATCTCGCTACTCATTCAGACTGGCCTGAAGCTGTGCTTGGTAGCCACCCTACTCCTCCTTCCCCCCCATTACCATCGTTCCAAACATGAACCCGCTCCTTCATCCCCTTCCGTCCTATACCCACGCTCAGCCAGCAGTTCGAACCAAGCACCCGCTGTCTCTCCTGTTCCTGTTCTGTCCCTCCCCTTCACTGTTTTCACATTTAATCCACTTCATTCATGAAATATGTCATTCTTCACAGCCAGTGACTTCATATTGAATGATTGAATGGTGAAGATTGGCCTGATATGTTGTAGTATCACACTTTCCTAGTCATTTCAAATGGATACAAATTTAGAATATTTTACTTGACATCTACCAGTCTCACACCATTAAATCAGATCTGCTGCTGGAGCCAGATATCTAACACCAGTGTTCTCTCATCCTGCCCCCTCAGAGTCTGGAGCAGTACTCAGCCTGGTCCGAAAGTGTGTCAGATGACACATTGACCACAAGTAGCAGCAGCCTAGAGGAGCAGGCCGAAAGAAGGCCCTGGAAGGGTTCTGAGATCCCCCAGGGACCTCCGCCTCAGCTTCCTGTCTCCCCCAGCAAGTTCCTGGCTGTGGAGGCTAGCACTGTGCTCTCCACCCTGCAGACCATACCGGAGTTTGCAGAGACCATGGAGCTCATTGACTCAGTGAGTAACAGTAGGAGCACAACAGAAAACCAATATATCTCAGTATGAATTGGTTATCCAAAAGTTAATGAATGTATTAAAGATCTATTGTAGATGTGCTTTGCTCTTCAGGACCCTGTTGCATGGAGTGACATGGCCAGTTTTGACTTGTCAGAGGAAGCGACACCTCCCAGGCACAACCAGGCAGGCTACGCCACTCACCTGCAAGAGAGGCCAATTGACAGTTCAATGGGCTACACAGTCAACACTCCGCCTGCCATCTCTGGTCGTGATAAGAGCTGTGCTCAATTTGGTCTGGGCAGTGGCAAATCCCTGACTCCTATCAACTCATCCAAACCCTCCCAGACATCCATTGGGAGGAGGAGGAGAAGAGAGAGGGGGGAACCGTCTCCTTTGTGTGACAGAACCTGCTCCTCCTTCCTGGAAAATATCTCAAATTCTCCAAAGAAGACGCCCACAAAGTCACTGCCATTCACTCCGTCACGAGTAAATGAACTTTTTCTTTCCTAACCCACCATATTCCCTACCTCACCTGACTACTTTCCCGTAGAGTTGATGTAATCATTTGGTCATGTAGCTGGCTAATATGCCTTGTCTGTTTCCCCAGTTCTGCAACATATCAGGGGCGGAGCATCTGAATCTGGATAACCCCGCCCTCACCTCAACTCCTGTGTGTGGCCAAAGGTGTCTTCTTAACACACCTCTCCAAAAAGAAACCACACCTAAGCACCAGAAAGAGAATGATGGGTAAATGAATATATAAAAGCAGTATACGTTCCACACAAGCTGGCCATATAAAAGCCACAAGCTTTCTATGCTTTGAATTTTCCACAAGGATCAGGATTTAACCTGAATTTAATCAGATTGTTAGGAGGATAGTACTAATATTCTCTGTCAACTTTCTAGTTCACGGACTCCCAAATTCCGTAAAACTGTTATGATTCCAACGCCAAGGACACCGACCCCCTTCAAAAATGCCTTGGCTGCCCAGGAGAAAATGCATGGGCCACTGAAGATGGAGGTAAGAGGTCAAATGTGGCTGTGGGCATTTCACACTTTTAATGACCTATATTTATGATACACCTTTATTACTTTGTGCAGTATATGGCTGTTGTGGTTATATTTATGTGTGTGTTCGTGTTTTTCAGCCCCAGCCATTGGCGTTTCTAGAAGAAGACATTCGAGAAGTTCTGAAGCAGGAGACTGGAGCGGACATCTTTAACAGAGCAGACCTCGAGCAAGACTACAGAGCATGGAAACATAATGTATGTGTAGCATGCACACTTTCTTCCATTACTGAAATATACTACTGAGCTCAGTGGTGGCACACATTTGTATAGCTCTACCCTAGATGGAAGTATTTACAGTTATTTGTATTTGGTCCGTTGATTTCAGATTGATGGCCCAGCTAGAAAGGTGCGTAAATCTCTTGTGCTGGACCCCTGGGGGAAAGACTGCCTAAATGTCCAACTCTTCCAAGAGCAGCTCAACAACGCACAAGTGAGTCACTTTAAAATTCTGCTTTTTTATGGATTAAGTTCAGCATCATCCTGTATTATATTTTAAATTTATTGAACCTCCTATCACAGATGCCGGATGAAAGTCTACTGACAAACTCCTCACTGATCACCCCGATCTCCGAGCAGGAGTGTATCCGTTCTTTGACTTCTGGCCAAGAGGAGCCCTCATTAGTCCCAGTACATCCTCATCGCTTCACCAGCCCCCGGATGAAGAAGCTTCTTGCCTCCCACAAAGCACCAAAACATGCCAATGTACAGGTACGTAAAGTCTCTAAAGCATTTCTTCCTCATAAAACATTTGAAAAGCCGAAAGTATGCATTGTTTACATCTATGTTTACTTGCTTGAAGTGTTGCATTGCGGTACTTTTTTTGCATATTACAGCCACCTGTAGATCAGTGAAGTGCTCCATAGCATTACTAGAGATTAAAAACTCCACAGGGAACCGTTAAATATTAAGATATACGTAATTGTATTGTATGTATATTTTTTCCTGATGCTGTTTTGCATAATGAAGGGTAAGCTACCGTGGCAAACATTGGTAATCGTTGGTTGCCTTCTCTGCAGGTGAGTGAGTGGGAAGCAGTGGTTTATGGGAAGACAGAGGACCAGCTGATCATGACGGAACAGGCTCGTCAGTACCTGAACCCTTACCCGTCTTCTGGCTCTACCTCAAGGGCCCTTGTGCTTTAAAGCCGTCCCCTCACTGCGCAGGCAACACTACTACGCCCCGTCCAACAACTGAAACCTCCACTGAATCCTGTAAGAGACAATCCAGTGAAGACAAATGATTTTATTTTTTGTTTTGAAGCAGAAATGCACTGCCAAGGACGTCCACAAAAAGGCACGGCTGCTGGTATTGTTTTCAACACGTTTCTAGGTCACTGCCCAAGTAGTTTCTCGTTCATAGGTTTGGCTGTATTTTCGTTGGAATACACACAACCTAAACAGTTTTGTACAGATATGAAAAGGCTAGATTTTTTTCTGCACTAGTCAGTAATGTTGAAACAACCTGCACATACAGTAGGCTTTAGAAATAGTGTTTATTACTAGCAGTGGCTGCTTCTGAGTTTTATATTGTTAATATATTGTTCAAATGACAAGAAAGACATTTTATAATGTAACGCTACTCATTGTGTATCTCCTCCAGCTTGTTTCGCTAAACTGCCCCGTTGCTGTTATCAGATAAAAACCACGTACATGCAAAATATATAATTTTTTATTGGCACTCATGTATTTCTAAAATCACACACCATGGGTTTTTAACAAGACACACACAGTACAGAATGTAATGTTAACAACTGCTTTTGAAGATTAGAGTAACACAAACACAGTTACGTGGTTTTTAGTGACAGCAGTGTTACGATGCTGAATGCCTATCCACGGCGATGTGAAGTTTTTGAGGATGGAAATAAGAAGCTGTCAGTATTGCACTACTGAGTTGATTTTGCTGCTGAGAAAGGAGCAGTGTTTTTAAGGGCAAACTGGATAGCACTTGTGATGGTATATTTTTATTAACAACAGCATTTCCTTTCCAAGGCCATAGTGTCTGTCGAGACATCGGTTGAATGTATTTCATTGCAATGTACATGTGTAAGAACCTCAAAAATGGAAGGGTACCTTTTAATGTTTATTTTCTGTTTGTTTTATTTATTATCTGACAGCTCTAAAGCTTAGATATTAATATAAATCGGACACCATGAGTTCTTAAGAAGTTTAACTTTGCTGACAAAACAGCCTAAAAACCCTCACTTGCTCTACAGCAGTTCTCTCTGTAATAGAGAGTGAATGGTCACCATTGCTTCGGTCAGTCAGTTTCCGTGTGTCACGATTGACCAGTTTTCATATCATCAGTGTTCTACAACAAGCATTTGGTCAAGAAGGATTTACTTTTTATGTGAAGGCTGTAGGTTTTATTTATTTAATGTCTACTAATTTATTTATTTTCTAAAAAAAAAAAAAAAACATTTAAGAGAAATTATTGAAGAATTTTATTGTCTTTTCTCTTTCAAAATCAGGATAGGGCTACCATTCAGTTTCATTACTCCAAGTTAGAAGAACACGCACTGCCACTAATTTAATATTTTAATCTCTCTTTTCCCGATCAGGCAAGATCTAGCAAATAATCATTGTGTAGTTGTATCTGTGATCTTGTAACATATAGATAGGAGTTTATTTTTTTTCTCCATTGATTCAAATGCGTTCTTTGCTATTAGGTAGCAGGACTCCATCTACGACCTCTAATCATAAACAAATTGCACTTTTTACTCATTTAATTTTAAATGTTTATTCATTCTGATGATGTAGCTCTTGTCCTTAATTTTATTTTTGTTTCTTTTTGTGTGTGTGTGTGTGCGTGTGTGTGTGTGTGTGTGTGTTAGACGGTTGTCTCCCCGTTTTGTAATGAATGCTGACATTAAGATCTTGCTGCTTGATTTCAACATTTTTCTCCTGTTCTGCTGCAGAAGTGTGTGTTTAAATACACTACATTAAAGCCTTACATTCAACTCTTTTTATGCAGATGTCTCTGGGCAAAAACAGGCCGTCATTATTATTTTTATTATTATTATTATTATTATTATTATAACAAGATCCAAATTTGATCCCTGCAGCAGCCAGCGTCTCAATAACCTTTTATCCTGCTGAACCCCTACCCGCTCACTCGTGATTTGACACTGCATTACAACAAAATGCTTAAATGTAATGTAAATATGCACAAATTTAGCTGTGATTTTTTTTTTGAAGAAATGTACTACACTGTGCTTCCATATTTACCTGGCAGATTCATGACATTTTTAACCATCCTGGAACAAAAATTACTATAATCTGGTGAGGTAACACTACGGCTATAAATGGTGTTTTTTGTATTATCGGCATTAGTGGATCCAGTATCAGTTATAATCTGGATTATCCTGCATTAAGCATTTGAGTGAGAATAAGAAGGGAATCTTGTCAGGGAGATCAAGTGGAAAGATCAGGAGTATACAGTACACAACTTTAAAACAGAAAGTAGACTAACATCCATATACAACCTTTGTATTTGAATCTGGTGGCTGAGATGTGTCTAATCTGTATATAATTGTGATATATGTTCTGTTTGTTGGTTTGACTTGTGTTTGTACATTCCATTTGTCAAGTCCAAGTTAATATGTTTGTACGTTAACATTTGGCTATGTAACATCATAGGTTTTGAGGGAATTAAGTACATATACAGGATAGTAGCAGCTCTTATATACTACTGTAGTTATGCATGAGCAATACACAAGATGCTGGACTTTGCTTTAACCGATGAGGTGAATCACAGATGTAACACTCACTCTATATTTTGTAGCATTTTCAGTTGAAATCATAACCAAGGTACCATAGAAATCCTGCCAACTGTCTTCGTAACCGTGTACTTAATTTGGAAAAATAAATGCATATGTTGCATGACATCTGTGGCATTTTACATTTTGTGTCTACATTTTTCCACTGAGTTTTTCTCTCTCTGCCAAGTGCCCCTGTCCAAATTAGTATAGGTTACATGGTTTTTCCCACATAATAAAGATTTCTGATGATCCTTTAGTTTTTCTGACATGCTCACAGCAGGCATAGCAACCTCTTGAGCTCTTGCCAAAAACTGATTCCTCAAGACATTTTCTTATGGAAAATGGAAACCGAAGTCCCCCCCCCCACCACCTTGTTACCACACTTTGCCACTTTTCCCCAGGTGGAGCTGACAGCAATGCAGGTGAATTGTTGGGGTTGACGGGTTGACAACTGATAGAGTGGTTTGAGCTGAACCCCCTGTCATGTGTGTATGTATATGTTGGGATGCTGTCAACTTGGCCTGGGGTCCAGCAGGGACACGAGCCCCCTCCACCAGAACAAGAGGGCTCTCCACGGGGTCAGCTGCTGGCCCTAAAGGGGCCCACTCACCCATGACTTAATGCCCCCGGGCTCCTTTGTCCTCGGGGCTGTTGGTTTTACAGGCCCATTCACTCAATTGCCCCCCAAATGGAGGGAGGCAAAGAACGTGATGACTTGCCTTATGCTGAAGGAGCAGCAGTGCACATGCATATAAACAATGTGCACATAAACACACGGGCACTGCATGCACGCCATGTCCACTTAATCAATCTGTCCTCCCTTCGCTCTCGTTCTTGTACAAGAGGGTCTTTTGTTCTTGCTTGACCTGCTCTAAGAGTTTAAAGGTGTCAGGGACCTTTTTCCTCTTAATTGGTTATTGGCAGCAGCCCCTCCACCTTATGTTTCATGCATGTATTTAAGGGAAGCAACTCATAGATTATAGTGACTTATTGACATGTAGACACACACCGGCTTTTATACAGACTAGATTGATTAGATGTGCAAAGCTGTTATTGGGAGATTTATTAAAAATTAGATATCATTTCTATCTTTTTATTTGAATATACAGTAAAACTTAACATGCCAAAGTGTACACCACCCGCTTTTTATTATCCAGTGCAGGTCCAGTACCCTCCGTATGTCTGGTCACGGAGTTAGCCATCAGTAAGGTGTGTTCATTTTTGTGTCTACCTTGTACACTGAGGACATGAAACAGAGCCTGAAGGCGCCCGGCCAAATCTACCCTGCCCTCTTCCTCTGAGCACACACCCAAAAGCAAGCGCACAAACTCTCACACACACACTGTTTGCCTTTGTGTATGCTAGACAGCAGATGGCAACCCATTATTGGGCTGACAGAGCAGTCATCTGGCAGGCCCCCTGTTACCCCTCCTCCCCCTCTCTTCCCCCCCATCCCCCCCGAAAACACCCAGCACAACAACACAGCAAGGATAGGGCACTTTTGGGCGGGAGAGTCCACAGCCCTGAAATGATGTGGCGTGTGTGTGTGTGTGTGTGTGTGTGTGTGTGTGTGTGTGTGTGTGTGTGTGTGTGTGTGTGTGTGTGTGTGTGTGTGTGTGTGTGTGTGTGTGTGCGCATGTGTGTGTGTTAAAATTGGACCCTGGCCTTTCCACCCTATATAGGTCACTGTTTCCACTTGTGTGTGTCAGCGCCTTGTGATGTAAGTCAGGCTCCCATTTGACTGGAGATTTGCCATGTTTTGAAGCAACACCTACAGTGGATCATTTACTTTCATGTAAGAATGAAAGTAAACTGTATCTGCACATTATGTGACCTTATCTGAATCTGAATTCTCACCTACCACCTATAAGTGAATACTGATCCACCACTAATATTCCAAGGTGAAAAGGGAATCTGGAACTTTTAAGATAAATTACTTATTCTCCTTCCATATTGTGCAGGATATCTCTTTAAGAGACATTCAGATATTACATTACGAAGGGCCCACTCAGATATTCTCCTAATGAATCAGAGTTTGCTCAGAGGACCAGCAATGCTGTCTCTCTTTGTAACATTTACACCCTTCCCTGTGCAAGACATGCCGCCCAAACACTGGCCCCAGAGTGACTGCCTCCTACAGCCTTTATTACAAAGGATTATACACCAGTGAATATCAAACGGTGGGGGGAGGAGGAGGAGTGTGTTTCCCTCTACGGAGGTCAAGGCCAAGGTTAGGATTAGGTTTGGTTTTTTGTGTCCTCTGGAAGGAGGTAATCTACAGCTCACCCTATAGAGACTCCACTACGGGGACATGCTGGGAGGCACCAAAGAGGAAGAAGACTACATGCGACATCTGAGAGCTGCTTTAGCGTTGCCGGGGCAACCGGCACAATCCCTGGTCCTTTGGCGAGGCTTTCAGCAGGCCTCAATCACACTTCCTTTCGCTTGAGAGAGTTTTCTTTTGCCCGCAGCACTGTTAAAGAGAAGGGAGGCCCAGTGTGTTCAAAGAAAATGAACAGGAGCTGAAGTATGAGGTAACATACTGAGGCATGTTTCCACTGAAATAAAAACATGTTATGCCTGTAAGGGTTTACTGCTTTTATAATCATAATAATAATTGCATATCAAGCAACACAATCTATACATATTAACAGATTCATGAGGGCAGATGAAGTTAAGGAAAATGAATGATGGAACAAAATACACACAGACAATGGAAATTAAATTTGTCTCAAGTAACAGCTTCAAAGTCGTAGAAAAAGGCTACATTTTTCCGGTGAAACATCAGTTATTGCTCCATTGATTGCCACTAACTCCTATGTTACTTTGTTACACATATGATTGCAGTGATTGTTAATAATTATATATTATATATTTTTTCTAAAGCTTATGAGCCTGGCATTTGATCTTGCCATGCTGAAAAACATCAGCAGCTGCTTGGCTCTGCATACATTGAAACCCCCCCCCATCAGTGAGGTCACATCAGGCATAGATAAAATGGGCAAAACACCTCCTGTGACATCACTGATTTAGGATTATACACTCAGTCATTCAATCAAGTACAGATATGACGATGAATACCTGCCAAAATCAAGATATTCAAAACCAGTCTTTTCATGTTTCAGAGGTTTCACCCACATAACCCCCCCCCCAAACACAGCCCCACCAATGTGAACTCGGCTCAGCCACCCAGGAGAAAAAGGAGGGCCTCTTAGTCGCCCTCGAAGGCCCCGTTGGTAGCTCCCTGGCATTCACTCTTTTTCCGGCACTTGGACAAGATCCTGTGGAGCAGGCCTGGGGATCTGTGTGCCTGAGGTTGGGAGGCCACGGGCTGAGGCACAGGGATCTGGGGCCTCTGCACCAGGAAGGGGCCCTCATTCTCGCCTTGGCCCCCATCCAGCCCCACTCCCCCACCTCCTCCTACTCCACCTCCTCTGCTCCCCCTCCTGAGCGCCTGCAGAATGTGTCCACTGGGGGACAAAGAGGAAATAACAAACACAAAGGCCCTGTTTATTCCTCATGACCCAAATTCCACCGCTAGCAGACAAGACAGGCACGGAGCTGTACAGAGGGCTCTGTGTGATGTGTGTGTTTATGTGAGTGTGTGAGCAAAGTTCAGTGGCAGGCTGTCAAAAATAAATGTCCCTACTGTCAAATAAACTGCAAGAAAGATACAGTAACCTATCAAACAACTTTCACTGCAACACTAAATCAACTGTCTTGATAAAAAAGTTATTTTATTTTTGACAATCTATCATAAATATTCCTGTAAGATTTAAATTATGCTGTCAAACATTTTAATTTCCTTTTTAGATGAAAAACTACAAAGTCTTTCCTTTCCCTCCTGCTCCTCTTTGCCCTTAATGAGATACAGCGCAGTGAGAGGGGGATTGACTAGTGTGTGTGTGTGCACGCCTGCGTGTGTGTGTGTTTAGGGGGGTTAGTAATCAGTGTGCTTTGTCAACTAATGAGGGACGAGAGGGGCCACCTGTTCAGGGGCGCTGGGCGGAGAGCAGAGGGATGGGATTTGGGGATGGGGGATGTGTGGGGGTTCGGTGTTGGAACAGCTGCTGGGTGCAGGGTGTGTGCATGATGTGTATGCATGCACTTGTTGTGGGGGACATGTGTTTTTGTTGTTACGGCTGGTGTACGAGTTTTACACCTACTTTCCATGTCTGTTGCGTATGCCTGAATCGTTGTCCCAGGCTGGGCTTCTCAGATATAAAGTCCTTCGTAGGGCTTTTGGAGGGAGATTCCCCTGTGAATAGGAACCATTGAGTGTGTTTGAGTTAAAAATGTCCCACAGATGTCCTGATATACACTTCCTCTTGCATATCCGGCTATTTTATTTCAGGTTAAATCACAGCAGACAGCTCAAAATCCATTAATGTTATTTCTTTGCACAGACAGTGGCAGTACTTAAAGGTCCAGTGTAAAAATTTAGGAGGATCTATTGGCAGAAATGGAATATAATATTCATATGTATGTTTCAATTGTGTATTATCACCTGAAAATTAAAAAAAAATGCGTCTTTATTACCTTATAATGAGCCTTTTTTAAAAAAATCTACAGACGGGTCACCTTCTGTGGAGGCTGATATGTTGTAGGTACAGTACACTAGGACTCTAGATACATTCACATTTTTTGCATGTTTCACAGTCACAATAGTTTCTCTTTTGCACTTGGAAAGGGAGGGTGAAGCGTGTGAGTTGCAACTTCACTGCAAGTTGCCACAAATACCTTTACACTGGTCCTTTAAGCTTATTTGTACTGTTTAATCATTGGATTGAATGATGGATGTCTCAACCATTATGTAATCTTTTCTTGCTATTTTAAAAAACACTAACAAAAATCAAGTTTATTTTTGCAGCAAACAACAATGATGACCAAAATTATGTAATGATGTAATAGTTTTTGTCTTGTTTAAGCCTTTTCAAACTTAAGGTTTTCTTTCTAATTTTAAACTTATACTCAGCTGTACTCAACTTTAGTATTACACTTCCATAATGTTGGGACTCACAAGAGCCAGATTTTAAAAGAATTGTCCAAATAAAATAGCAGAGGACGAGGCATGACTGACTTTTAGTCTCTAGCAGTGGTCAACCTCTAAAAACACTGGATACTACATGTCCCATAATGCATCTCAATAATGTCTTTCACACAACTCCAGTTTGTAATGCAGGCTTTTAAGCTGATGACACCCCTGTGACATCTTCAAGGTTATTTTGTCAGACTTTTAAAAAAGCCCCTACACAGTAGTACTCTTGAGTGAGTAAACCAAACCTTTAAAAATATATTTATTAAGATCCCATTGCTCACTGTAAGAAGCTGATTGAGAAACTATGTTTTCATAGTCTTTAAAACTTACACTGCCGTGGAAGAGCAGAGCAGAAAAGACAAGAAATGATCTGCCTTCTGACATTAAGCAGCAGCAGCAACACAGTCCTGTAATGCTGCATTGCTGAGCTCATTCAGGCAGCCAACCAACCTGGCTCAGCTCCATCACACAGGAGGCGGGGAAGTAGCCCCGCTGGCCGTCCTGCAGCCGCCCAAACCACCTCTCCTCCTCATGTTTGGACAGCACCAGGATGACGTCACCAGGAGACAGCTCAAGCTCATCTGGCCAGTTGGGGCTGTAGCTGTGCACCACTACCATCTGATGGACAGAGGGAGAGTTACAGCCAGTGTTTTCATTTCACAACTGCAAGATGCACTTTCAAATGTTACACAGAATTTAAGTAAAGTGCAGTTTGTTGCCTCCCTTTTTGTTGTACTGTTAAAAGCTGTGGTCGCTGTGTATGTGTACTCTGCAGCCTATTATGTGTCTCAGAGACTCAGATATTAGAATAGAAACCCTAAATCTGGGTCTACTCTTCATCATCTGTTCCTCCTATAAATATGGTCCATGTTGGTCAGAGGAATTAGATAACTTAAACACATAATGGAGCCACAGGAAATAGACTGACTTTATGTAACATCAATGTCAAACTCATATCAATCAATCTCCAGTATATGTAAGGCTTAGAAAACATTATTTTAATATTTCTGCTGTTTAAGACCTACATGATGTTAAATTAACACCTTGCAACCATTGATACACTCATATGAGATTCTTATTTACATAAATAAATATTTAACTTGCCTTTTCAGCCTCGGCTCTGTATCGATACCTCCCTGTTAACCAATGAGAGTGGAAATGAATCAGCAAAAAAATAAAGGTTAGTTTTATGATTTGTCATAGCTGCAAACGTGCACAAGAATTTCTTCACATATGTATGTACGTAAGTATGTCTACAACCACGTCCTTCAGTAAATGAACAGTCCACAGGGAGAGAAAACAAAAGATCTACCCCATTATTTATTAATCATTTGACATTGCTATGCCATGTTGCTCTCACCAACAATGTAAATAATGGCATGACACGCCACACTTCACTGCAGACATGATTGCACTCACCTTGTGGAGCAAGGACAGTGGTGAAGACTTCAAAGTGTTCATTGCTGTGCATGTAGATGCGCTGCATCTTGAAGATGTTGCACACACAGAACCGAAGCTCCTGCACTCCTCTCCGCACTACCTTTAAATAAATGCAGCTGACTAATCCACTGCAGCACCGACTGGAGCTGGACACAAGCAACAACACGTCCCTCCGATGGTGCAACACACACAAGGATGTACAGCACAAGACACAAGGGGGAAATGTATTTCTTAGTTTATAGCAGAAAGGTGTATGATTATTAGTCTAAACAGGTCTTTTCCCATATTAAAATTCACCAGATGCGTCTATTCTCGATATTCCTTTAGCTCAGCAGTGGAATTAAAAGCAACCTTCATGTCAGAGATCATGCTTGACCACCTCATCCTCATGCCAGTGCCTATTGTTCTTTGACCATCTGGTCATATGTGAGAGAAGTTTCGAGGCTGCTGCCACTGCTCGCCTGACTGTGGATGAGAATTCATCATTTTTCCTCATCAAGAGCGCTTGATTGATTTAGGGTTATTGACTATGTCCCATTTTCCAGTGGCCTGGGTGAGCACAGACAAAGATGAATAGGCTTGGGACAGGGTGGTGTACTACTCAACAGATGGTGATTGAACCCCCGCACCCACCCACACACACACACCTCCCGCTCTGGAGCTTAGCTGTGAGCTTGTGTCAGCGATTAAAAAGCATCCATCAATAACACAAGAGATCACTCAGCCAGACAATCGCATCTGAGCGATGGAAGTTTGCTGCGAACCTCCACACATTACAAAAAATGACATACAAAGAACTTCAAACTTATTTTATTAACTTTATTTCCTGTAACAAATCTGCATAGAAAATAGATGCTTTTTATTCTCCTAATTCACTGCAATCAACAGCAACAGGAAATAATGCTGAGGAGGGATATAGATTAGTTTAGTGAGCTGAACAAGGGGAAATGTGTTTGTCTGAAGGAGGAAACACCTGTAAATGGACGAGACAACTAATTAACCTCATTATCTTTGGCCTCAGTCATCCTGCAAAACACTTGATTGGGCTGCATCCCCAACGGCTCAGGTAACACGTGATATTACAGCCCTGTGGAGACCAATACACTCAATACTCTTACTGTTTTTTCTCTATCCACTTTGCTGCTGTAACATTGGAATTCCCCCCTTGTGGGACAAATAAAGGAATATCTAACAATGATAGAAAAATAGTATTATTAACAGCTTTTCATGCACTTTTATGTCCAAATGTACCAAGAAGGTGCACATTTTGAACTTTTTCTGTTATCTGTAACTCTTCTCACTGCTACTAATTCAGTGTGATACCTCCAGTCTAGACACCAAGGCCAAAGCAAAGCCTTTACATAACCAAAACCACACACACAAAAAAACCCAGCTAAGCCGCTTAGAAAACAGGTCTGATGTTCACTTCTACAGAGGAGAAGAAGTGTTACGGGTAAGAAAAGAGCAGATATAAAAAAAATGAAATTCACATGTTAACGTTAGACATTAGCAGAGATGCATGTGATCATTTGGAAACATTAGATTGCGTTGTTAATGGAGTGAAGACCGTCATTTAATCTGTTGCTGAGATTCTTTCTCTGGACTGAGCTTGTGTCAACTGGTTGCTGCAGCAGTTTAATTTAAGCAACCTGATTTAATACAAGTGAAGATCTTTCATGGTGGTGACTCACTTGGTGATAAAGATGATGAAAATATAGAATATATCTCTGTGTATTAGATTATTGTGGGCAATGCTGCAAATCATTGGGACTATTTTACGGTAATATTGGACTTTAATGTGATTTCTGGCATAAATGTACCTTCATTTCTCAGACTGTAATGTACTTTAACTCAATTTCTATAACAATATGCAAACAGACCAGCTCAGTTCTTAGATTTTAAACACCAAATGTTGAATCACACACTCAGTCCTCAGAATAGTTCACTTTGCATACAGATCAACACATTTTTAACCTTTTTACTGAACACATTTTGACATGTCAACAGTATGAAAAGCACCTGGAAGTCATCGTTAATGTTATTAATTAACACCCATGATTTTCCGACTATAAGTTAAAATCAATTCCAGTATATAATATTACATTGCAACATAATCAGCGATTACTTTACCAAACACCAAAGCTTTTTCCTCTACTCTTTCATGTCAGATTATTTTATATTTAACTGTATTTTTGATTATTACAGTAAACCTACATGTGGTTAAAACACAGGGAAATCTTTTTCTGCAGCATTTCAAATACATATTTTTTGTATATTACACTTTTTTCTTGTCACCATGTGTATAATCTTCCATGTTCTGCTTGCAATGATTAAGATTCAATGAATAAACTCCATATTTGTTGTTACTAAACTATTAATTACTCCTGTGCTTCTTCTTCTTACAATGTGTGAACAGACGTCCGCATTCACTTAAAAAAACAGGAAAAAATAAAACACAATCAACCTGATATTGTTTTTAATTTGAGCTGCAGTTTTAAGTATTTTCCATTAATATTACACATATTAAATCTGTTATCTTCCATGAACTCTGGGACAGTGAAGAGCCACATTAACCCCCTCCACACACACACACACACATATATGACACCCATCATTCACAGGTGAACCAGTCATTTCATTGTTGCATCATTTAAGTCCAGTCCAATATTTTGATGCCAAGGCACACACAGATGTAGCAGGACGGGGTTTAGAGTCCTCAATGCTTCCCAGGTTTGCCCCTCTTCTTCCCTCCTCCAGCTTTATTACCTCCAGCTTTACTGCCTCCTTTACCTTTCCCACCCTTCCCACCCTTCCCTTTGCCCTTTCCTGACATGTTGCCCTTGCGTCCTTTCTTCCCCGCTCCCTTCTTGTATTTAGCCGCGGCCTCCTCTCGGTCCTCCTCCCTCATCTGTTTGTTGACGGCCTTGGTGATGTCCAACCTGGGCTTCTTGCTGTCCATGAGTTTGAGAAGCTCCAGCTGCTTCTGCTTCTCGGTGCCGAAGTTGCCGATGAGGGGCTCGAACTTCCTCCTCTTGCCCGTGTTCTTCGGTGGTTTCTCTTTGGGCAGGCGGTCCTGGAACCGGCCCGCGGACGCTGTGGAGGTCTTGGCCACGCTCACAGCTTTGGACAGGTCGTCTTTGGACTGCTGCGCCACCGGGGTCAGACCCACACCTGGCACTTTGATCTTCTGCGCCCTGGCGATGTTCTTCAGCCTGTTGAACTCGTTTTTGGCCACCCGCTCCTTCTTGGCTTTTACGCGTTTGGCGAACTGGTCCTCATTCGGGTCTGCGGTCTCCGGGACCTCTATGAGCCACTCCTTGGTGTCATCCTTGGCCCTCTTGTAGCCCCAGCGCCTCTTCCACTCCTTCGCGGTTTCATCCCACACCAAGTTGGTCTTCTTCTTTTTCTGAATGCCCTTCAGCTTGGCGAACTCTTCCCATTTCGTCGGTGGTTTCGGTTTCGGAGGTGGTTTCTCTCTGGGCAGCGGGGTCGCGGACTCTGGTAGTTTGACCACTATCGCCTCCTCGACCCTCTCCGTGGGTTGTTTCCAGATCTCGTTGATGAGCAGCTGCGTGTTGTCACGAGCTAAAGACCGCAGGAAGTCCTCTTTCTTCTGCTCCCTGAAGTCCCGCACCTCGATGCGGTTTTTGTCGCAAGCCAGCAGGTTTCCGACGTCAAACTCCAGGTCCAGCTCTTTGTGGACCGAGATGCTTTTCAGTTTTTCTGCCTCCTCTTGCTCCGCTTTAGCCAGCAGCTCCTCCACACTGCACGCGGCCATGTTGGTCAGTGCTGTTAAACGCCTGCTCCCCACGTGCCAAAGAGGGAGAAAAACACACTCGTCTGCTTCCGGGTCACAGTAAACGTGGAGCAGTTCCACCTGGAGCCACACGATGGCGACATTGTTCCACTTCATTTTCTACTGTTTTAGTTTTTAATTCAATTTTAACAACAACACAGATATTGTATCTGGATATAACTGTCATATGGGAAATAATCAAATAAATAACTATAAATTAATATAAAATAAATTACATAAATGCACAAAATTTGAAAAACAAGATAGATTAAAAGAAATCTAAATATAAAAAGGAAAAAGAAATCTACCCCTTCTCCATCAATGCATTCAGAATTTTAATTAACAGACACAAGATGTCCCCTACTTCACTAAAAAAGGTTTATTCTCAGTCTATTTGCACTGCCACAAGATGGCGACATTGTTCCGTTTAATTTTTGTACTGTTTGTAGATTTTTGATTAGTTCTTAATTCCCGTGTACAACAACACAGACATTGTATCTGTGAATGCACACACAATAAAAACTACAACATAAGGAATATCTGTGTATAAAAAGGAAAAAAGGGCCATCTGTTTCAATAATCTTATATATATATATATTTCTTAAAATTACATCTACCCCTATGAGAACGACCTGTGAAGTGTATAGGAGTAACTACGGTGGCCGCAGAACTCAATAAAAATGCAAAAGGGCATCTACCATCTATCTATCATCTACAGCCAGTGTTTGGTCTGTCCATTCTGGGATACTGTAGAAACATGGCGGTTCAACATGGTGGCCTCTATGGAAGGCGACCTGCGGCGTCTGTAGATAAAAACGACTCATTCTAAGGTAACGAAAACACAACGGTTCCTATATTCAAGTGATTTTACACTAATGGAAACATACCTATGAATATTATATTCAGTGTCTGCCAGTAGATCCTCCGACATGTTTCACACTGGACCTTTAAACTCAGATTTAATGTGAGCTCAGAGACACTGTCAAAAATCGTATCAAAGTAACAATCAGCAAAAATATACTTTTGAGTGGAGAGGGACTTTTTACATTTTATTTTTTTACGATTTAAAGAGCTAGTGCCTCATGTACCAAGGCTGAGTCCTCGCTGCAGTGACCACGGGGGTTCGACTCCGACTTGTGGCCCTTTGCTGCATGTCATCCCCTCTCTCTCCCCCTTTCCTGTCACTCTACAGCTGTCACTATCAATTAAAGGCAATAAAAGGCCAACAAAGAATGTACCGAATGTCACAATGTATTGATATTATTTGTAGTATTTTCAAATTTGTTTGTTAAATTAAAATTTAATTAATTAATTTTAATTACTTTTCAATATCAGATTCAGTATTTATACATTTAGCTACATTCCTTTTGAATTTACACACACACACAAAATGTAAAACTCCCCATACATATGTATACTTGTTAGGATTCATTAGTTGGTGTGTATGGTGTTGTCCTCTTTTTTTAAATAATTTAAATTGTTTGCAAACTTACGAAGGTGGAGATAAAACGTCTTTACTGCCCTGTGTAGAAATTTAAAGGCCACTCTGACTGATTTTCAGACTCTTGTACAATTGAATCAGTTGAATGTACAAAAATGAGATGAGTGACAGGACTCACATTGAGACATGAAAAGCAAAAATAGAATAAAATTACTAAATAAAATAAAAAAACACTTTTTAAACAGAATCACAAAATATAGAGATACTTTGGAGGTTTTTCTACCCGAGTATATTAAACAATTGAGAAACAAGGTCTTTGCTGTTTTAATTTCTGTGAGTTTCTGCGCCGTGACTCTTATAACGGCTGCACATCATTTTAAAGTTACGGAGTCGCGATAAACTTCATAATAGGATTACTGTAAGTGTTTTCATGAGAGATTAAATTCACTGAAGTATTAATATTCTTCCTTCTCTATAATGTATTCTGTATGTGTTTCTCCCATAGATCAGGAACTCTAATAACTCTATTTTTGTCCTTGTCTCCACTGATTTGGAGGAGATGGAGAGGGAGGAGGAAGAGGGGGTGGTGAGGGATTGGGGGGGTTGTGGGGGTCCTATTACAATTGACTGGCTGCTGGTTGCTCAAAGACGATGGTGTTATTATTTTGGGCTCCAGTAATTACATTCATCGCCACACTTGCCATGTGAATGCTAGCGCTCTGACAGGCACAGAGATAAGGTCACAAGTGATGCTGTGTTTGGAGATGTGAGGAGGAAATGCGTAATTAGTGGCCCAAAGTCCCTGTCCTGATTTAGAGAAGGCTATAAGGTCTTCTGTGACGTGAATGTATATAGTCTAAAATCCCCCAATTTAAACATAGTCCACTAGTTAGCCACTGGTCTCGCTGCCTGTGTCACCCACTGTCTCCACAAGTGTTGAAGGGTTTTCTGCTGACTTTTGATCCGGGGGTGAATTCATCCAAACAGGATTACTTTTCCACGGGGTTTCTTTTATGGAAGAATACACATCACAGGCCAGATAAAGTTCTCTATGAGCTGTGACCATGGAGCAAAGTCATTCGCACTCTCAGTGTCTGCGTCTCCACAGCTCTTAAATGTGCTTAAAGGATAAGATTTAGAAATAGTTCTTTCTATAACGTATAGCTGCTTTCATGTGAACACCCACCTCCTTTTTCTATTTTTTTTATTTGTTAGTTTCAGCCGAAGGAACTCAATCCTCTTTACCGAGCTGATTCTTTTCTTTTCCCCCTCAAGTTCCTGGAAAATTGACAGTCTGGACTTGCATGAGGGTTTTTAATCTGACATTGTGCAACTGACTGAGTCCCACCTGAGTTCACACTGTAGCTAATGCAGAGTGTAATAAACAGGGGCAGTACTCAGACCTTTTAAGTAAAAGTAGCAATAAACATACTACAAATAAAAGTAATTTATACAAAATTAGAAACATCTACATATATTTAGAGCTCTAAAAGTAAAAGTACTCATAACGCAGAATGGCCCATTTCATAGCAATATTCTATTAATATTATTATAATTACTGATGTATTCATGTGCAAGCACAGTTTTTATGGTGCAGCTGCAAAGGTTGGGGTGATTTTATACCCTACCAGGTAGCTTAATCTATAAAAACTAATCATAATTTATTTGTTGATTATATTTTGTATTAATAATCGAACTCTGCAAAGTAGCTACGGGAGTAACTAAACCTTTAAAATACAAAAATGTAAATATTTCCCTCTGAAATCCTGTGAAAGTAAAATACCATGGTCTCTTAAGAAATACTTTCCATTTGCAGCAAGAAAACACTTTTTATCTGTTCTGGACTATGGTAATAATTCATTTAGGCATTTTAATTAGAATTTTGGATCAGTGTAATTTAGATGTATTAATAGTTGCATCTTACTGAAAATAATGGGAAAGACTCATGAGAATTTTTCTATGTAACTCCATCTACTCGCCTCTAAGTTACTATTTTGACCAGGTCTCCCCTGTGAAAGATATAATATATCTCTTGAGACTTTCTGGTTAAACAAATAGAAATAAAATCTCTATCCAATTTGATTCTGGACTGAATCAGTGAACCATCCATTCAGCTGCATCTGAACCAGGCGATGCCCTCACAGTATCTGCACGTCCTCTTCATGTGATACACGGGAGAATGTGCAAAAGAAACAATTTTATTAACATATCTTTCTCCACACATAAAGTGACACTGGTAATAGCACCTGATTAAGTCATCCCACAGCACCACATACATGCGTAAGTGATGCCAAACGTCATCTAATCTTCAGTGTGAAAGAGATCCTGAAATAACTGAGATATAATTAAGAATTTAAGCACCTTTATATGTTTTTTTTAATGAATAGATACAACTTGTATAGTTCACTAAGCAGGGACAAACCCATAACTCTAACAGGATCAGCGGTTTGCTTTATTTAAAGGACTACAAAGACCATTCATGCCACATGTCTGGTTCTATTTATGCACGTGCAGTTAAAATGTTGCATTTGTACAATTTATTTGAAGCCTTTCACACAGCTTTTCAAGCCGATGTACTGTGTTAAATGTGTTGTAACAGTATATTCTGCATGTCTTCACAGGGAAAAATACTGCCCGTGAAGATCTGTGAGCTCCTCCTCATCTTATACCTACAGACTGGTAGCCACTGTGATCCATGAATCACAGGGGGAAAGAAAGGACGTTCATTCATGCAAAAAATGGCTCGAGGCCAAAAACTTCCCCCCTGCTACCAAAAGTTGACCCTTTAGCATCAAAGAAGAGGTGAGAGCGCTGGAGGGCCTGATATGTAAGGAGGGCAAAATAATCTCATCAGCGCCATCCTGGCATAAATCTGACGTGATTAGCTGTTGACAGTTTGCTCGTGTATTTATAGTCGTTGTATTATTTGCATATAATTCTTAGACCTGCTTGGCTGGAGGACAGAGAAGATGTTTTTTTTTTTTTCCAGGATTGTGCAGAATATCATTCTGTTTATGGTCTTCAAAGAACAACATGCTTTATTTGTGCATGTTTTACATCAGACCACAGGGTATAAAGTCTGCTCTTCTGCAGGGAAAACGTGATGAGTCTCAGTGATTAACCATGTAAAGGAGGATTTTCAAGGTTCACACGTGTCACCGAGGCATACAGGAGGCTTAAAAATATTCCCTGAACATACAGTGAACTATAGATCCATCACTGTGGTAAATATCATGGGTAACAGCTTCACGTGACATGATTTCTCAGAGAGGAATCAATAAAAAAGGGACTCTCTGTCCAAGTTAACCCTAAGCTGCTCATGCAAAACACATGACTGAGCTGTTAGCTGATAGGCTTAGGCACTTTTGTAGATTACATCCACTACTTCCTGTTTCCACCGTGAAAGGGAAATGAGCATCCCCTGGTGAACAGAGTATAGTTGGCTGACAGTAGAGGTCAGAGCCTTTATTGATCTTCTGTAGTTGGGACAGAAACACCATTTGTGCAATGCCTCACAGCCGCCTGCTGCTCCTAAACTACCGCCTGCTCCGCGTGGTATCTCACGCTCTGAGAAGGACAAGCCAGAAGATA